ATCTCATTCCCTCCTGATCTGCAAGGTTTCGGCTGAAAAATGCACTGATTGCCTTATTGATGGTGGTGATGGTGGTGTGTGTGTGTGTGTTGGGGGTTTCCTTGTATTATATAGGTTGCTTTTCTCCTGCTGCTTTCAAAATTTCCTCTTTGCCTTTGATTTTTCAGAATTCGATTATAATGTGTTTCAGTGTAATTTTCTTTGACTTGAGCTTTTGAGCTTCATGAATCTAGATGTCCATATTTCTTTCAAGATTTGAGAAGTTCTCAGGGAACAAACATTCATTTAAGTAAGCTAGATATTTCTTCTGTTCTCCTTTTGGGACCTTGATAATGCACATATTCATTCATTTGATGCTGCATCATAGTTTCTGTATGCTTTTGTCATTTTTAATTCATTTTTCTCTTTAGTTTCTCTGGATAATTTTAAACGATGTGTGTTTGAGTTCAGTGATGCTTGCTTCTGCATAACTGGGTTTCCTGTTGAAGCTGTTAATTTTTTTTTCAGTTGTCAGTGTATTCTTCAGTTTCAGGATTTCTGTTTGGTTCTTTTAGAGTTTCTATTCCTTTATTAAACTATTTGTTTTGTTCATGTATTGTTTTCCTGATTTTTGTTGAGTTTCCTGATTTTTGTTTCTGGGTTCTCTTGAATCTCATTGAGGCTCTTTAGGATGATAATCTTTAATTCTATCAGTCATTTCATGAATCTCCATTCCTTTGTGATCAGTCATAAGGACTTTATTGGTTTACTTTGGTGATGTATTATATAATTGTAAACCAAATATATAGAAAACCGAAAAAAAATCTGTAGAAAAATAATTAGAATTAGCAAGAGCATTTAACAGGTTTTCTAGATATAATACCCATATATGGGAATCATATTCCTATTTATATGCCAGCAAAAAGCCACTAGAAAATGTAATTTTAAAAAGTTATTAAAATGATTTATTTGGGTAAAGTTCATTAGCGCATCGAGTCATTAGGTGGAAGGTTGAGAAAAGGTGAACTCTACACACAGAAGAGACTAGGCTGTCACTGCCTTGACGCACTGGCTAATCTTAGCCTCTTTAAGAGTGAGAAAACCAAGGACCAGGCACAGTGGCTTATGCCTGTAATCCCAGCACTTTGGGAGGCCAAGGTGGGTGGGTCACTTGAGGCCAGGAGTTTGAGACCAGCTTGGCCCACATGGTGAAACCCCTTCTCTACTAAAAATACAAAAATTAGCCAGGCGTGGTGTTGCACGTCTATAATCCCAGCTACTTGGGAGGCTGAAGCACCAGAATGGCTTGAACCCGAGAGTGGAGGTTGCAGTGAGCCAACATTGTACCTTTGCACTCCAGCCTGGGCAACAGAATGAGACCTTGTCTCAAAAAAAAAAAAGAACTAGAAAACCAGACATTATATTATATGCTCTCAGATGTGAGGCAATGTCAGTTACACAACACCATTAATTATTATTTTTACCTAAAAATGAAAATTGAATATATTCAAGTCTGTAAAGCTAATATTCAGTATCAGCACAAACAAAAAGCAAGAGATATAGAGAAACAAGTTGAATTTTATCATGAAGAAGCAAACATACAATCCAGAATGTGAGTCATTGTATGGAATAATTGATTTCCTTTAAAAAAAAATCACTGGCATTCAAAAAGTGTACATTGGAGGAGGTAAGAGACTTTCTCTAGATTAGTAGGGGATGAAAGGATCTAACAAATAAGTACAAAGCATGGGCACTTTTGTATTTTGATTCAAATAAAGTAGCTGTAAAAACTAAACTTTGATACGAATGGGGAAATTTGAATATGGGCTATATTGATATCGAGAAATTAGTTAATTTTGTTACAGTTTACATTGTTGAGAAGTGCTCTTTTTTGGAGATGCATAAGGAAGCATGTATAAGGATGTAATGACATGATGTCTGGAATTTTAAATGATGGCAAAACATATAATGTACATAGGAATAAAATATATACACATCTTTCATGGAGGAAAATATAACGCTTTGTTAGAAGCCTTTTAAGGAGACCTAAAGAAATAGATAAACACACTGACAAGTTTTCAACTTAACAATAATGCAAAAGTGATGCACATTCAGTAAAACCATACTTTGAATTTTGATCTTTTTCTGTGGTATGTAGTATGATACTGTCTTGTGATGCTGGGCAGTGGTAGTGAGCCACAGATCCCAGTTAGTCACACAACCAGAGAGTAAACAACTGATATTTTCCAGATTAGGTGCTTTAAATGCATTTTGAACTTAGGATATTTTCAACTTACGGTGGGTTTATTGGGATATAGCCCAATGGTAAGTTGAGGAGCATCTGTAGTATGTTAATGAATTGAAAGATCCAAAAGCATGAAGTTTTCCCCAAACTGATATTGCTTCAGTGTAATTGGAATCGAAATCCCAGAGGCTGCTGTTGGGTTTTTTGTTGCTGTGGTTGGTTGGTTTGGTGGAACTTGACTGGCTAGTTCTGAAATTTCTATGAGAAGCATAAAGCGCCAAGAATAGCGAAGTCAGGTTTGAAGAAGGAAAAGGTAGGGAGCCTTGCCTTACTAATTACTTCTTGTAAAGGTATAGCAATTAAGGTGGTATAGGTCTGGCACAGAAATATACAAACATAGCCACAAAACAGGTACACATGTATATAGAAACTTTGTACATGGCAATGCATGTAAATATTCCTGGGAAAATTCATTCTAAATACTTGCAAAGGAAAGAAATTTTATTCTTATCTTATACCAGACCCCTCAAAATAGAAGTATATTCTTACCTCATGATATCTACAACGTCGGTTTCAGATGGATTAATGACTGCAACGTGAAAGACAAAGTTAACGTCGTTTTAGGGGAATATCTTTATGAACTTGGGATGGACAAGATTGTGTGGAAATGTCACAGAATTGTGTATTGTAAAGGAGAAGATTGATACATTTGAAACAATTAAAAATTTTAAGCTGGACATGGTGACTCATGTCTGTAATCCCAGCACTTGGAGGTGGAAGCCAGTGGATTGCTTGAGTCCAGGAGTTCAAGACCAGCATAGGCAACATAGCGAAACCTCGTCTCTACTAAAACTTAGCGGGGTGTGGTGGCACGTGTGTGTAATTCCAGCTATTCAGGAGGCTGAGGTGGGAGAATCACCTGAGCCTGGGAGGTCAAGGCTGCAGTGAGCTGAGATTGTGCCACTGCACACTAGCCTTAGCGACTGAGAGCCCATCTCAAAAAAAAAAAAAAAAAATTGAATTCTATCAATGAAAAGATGTAAAGATATCATAGACTAGAAGAAAATACTTATATAACATATAACGGACGGATAAAGTATTATCATCTATAATGTATAAAGAATACCTACAAGTCATTAAGAAATCACAAGAACAGAAAACCAAACACCGCATGTTCTCACTCATAGGTGGGAACTGAACAATGAGATCACTTGGACTCGGGAAGGGGGACATCACACACCGGGGCCTATTATGGGGAGGGGGGAGGGGGGAGGGATTGCATGGGGAGTTATACCTGATGTAAATGACGAGTAGTTGGGTGCTGACGAGTTGATGGGTGCAGCACAGCAACATGGCACAAGTATACATATGTAACAAACCTGCACATTATGCACATGTACCCTCGAACTTAAAGTATAATAATAATAAAAAATTAAAAATTAAAAATTTAAAAAAAAAAAAAAAGATACCTTAATTTTAAAAATGTACAAAAGACACAAATAACTATTTCACAGAAGTGGAAACAGGAATGACCAAAAACTGTATAAGATATTCAGCCAAGGTGGTTAAATGCATTTGACATGCATTTTAAAAGTATAATGAAGTACTATTTTTTTTTTTATACCCGATTGGAAACATTTAGAAAGTACCATGTGTTAATGGATGTGAAGAGTTATAATGGCCACTGTTAAGCACAGCTAGCAAGAGTATAAATTAATATAGCTTCTTGGAAAATAAAATAAGGTGTACCTACTGTATTTCCTAGCAATTTAGTTCCTAGGCCTATACCTTAGAGATCTCCTTGCGCAGGTAAATCAGAGTGCACCTAGCAGCGTTATTTAAAATAGCAAGAAAATGGAAACAACCCAGTTGTGATCTTTGGGGGAGTGGATTAAAATAATTGCCATGTATTATTTCACACCTCAGTGAAAGTGGAGAGGATTAAAAGATACATTACACTCTGAATGGTCTAAGTCTCGAAACCTATTGAAAGGGAATAATACTGAATATCATTCTGTACTAAAAAGAAAAAGGAATAATTATTTATCTTTATAAAGCTCAAAAACATGTAAGCTATAAATGAACAGCTCATATATATATATGTAGCAAAACAATAATAAAAGCAAGGGGATTTTAAACATAAATGTCGAGATATAGGTTGTTATTAATGGAGGATAGACCAATAGTAGAGAGAGGCACAACAGGGAGCTTCAGAAGTGAATATTATGTTCCCATTTCTTAAGCTAGGTTTCTAGATTTTTATGTCATTATTTTCATCTACATCTACATTATATACAGTGTATTGCATGTTTGAAATGTTTAATAGTGGTAACATTAGAGTTGTTTTACAAAACTTTCTTTTTCTATCAGCCATTCTAACATTAATAATGGTAACATTAGAGTTGTTTTACAAAACTTTCTTTTTCTATCAGCCATTCTAACATTTCCGTGCATCGACGTCCCTGTTTCCAAAATCTCTGACTTGGTTTCTTTTTAGTCATTTCAGATTATCCCATGCCTTTCTTTTGTTTTATGATTTCATTGTTCTTCATAGAGTACATGCTGAAATACATGTTCTTTATGGGAAAACTTATTTTTGAAAACAAATGTGCTACCATTGACAGGAAAGAATTTGGAATTGTGGAAAAATTTTACAGTATATATTTATTTGTTGGTTTTCAACGACTCCTTATTGTCACTGGTGTAAGTCTCTAAATAAACATATTGTTTCTATGCATGCATATGCAAAGCTTGATTCTTCTCCTTCTGTCATTAGGCAAGTGAAAGACCAGAATAAGAAGGTAGCAAATCTGAAGCACAAGGAACAGGTGGAAAAAAAGAAGAGTGCACAAATGCTGGAGGAGGCTCGGCGACGGGAGGACAACCTCAACGACAGCTCTCAGCAGCTCCAGGTTAGAACACAAGGAGAACCGGAAAGGATGGGGTGAAAAGATTTGATCCATAATCGCATGTTGTTTTCCTCTTCATCTTTATCCTCCTCTTTTTTCTCTTTCTAACCCTGCTTGCTGCCTTCCTCTCAGACCAACTGTTTAGCAATGAAGGAATGGCTTTAAATAGAAAATGCAAGTTTTATTCCACAGCTTTATGAGGACACCTCAGCATAGGAGAAAGTTCATCTTGCTTCAAGTTGATGACATGTAATTGGTAAGTTCAATGACAGTTTAATGAGTGGGTTATATTAGGCTTCAGGGTTGTCAGTGTACTTCTCTGCCAGTTCCGTGCATTACAATGGATTGCTAATCTTAGTTTGTGTCTTTCTTCCTTTTTTCCATTCTTCCTCTTTTCCTTCTAACCTCCATCTTTCCTTCCTTTCCTCTTTTTAAATATGCAATTTAGCAAGAATATTTTACAGTCATACAGAATGTGACATATAAACTGTATTTTTTCACTTCAGTGGAGTGATCATTGCTGCCTAAACCTGATTATTCACAGATTAATTAAACCAGGCTCAATAACAGCAGTAGCAGCTACCACATCATAAGTGCCAGTTAGGTCCTCAGTATTTGAAACTAGGCTCTGGTCATTGGTTTTGTTCTAACCTTCACAGTAATCCAAGCGGAGCAGGTGGTATTGTATACATTTTGCACCGGGGAAAATAGACTGAGAGACATTGCGTTACGTACATAAACTCACGCAACTTCCGAATGGCTCAGCCATGATTTTAACTGGGACTCCCTGAATCTGTGGACTGTCCTCTTTGTCTTGATCATAATGCTTCAGAATGAAGGTTTAGATTATAGGGAAGAATACCGTAAACGCGCTGGAGTCTCTGAAACTCATGCTGGGTCTAAGCCACTGCCAGATGGTTTTTCTCTAGTTAACAGTTTCTGATTGGGTCTGATACTGTGTATGTGCCACAATTACCATCTTTACTGGAGAGATTCGGAGGAGTTACTATGCAGAAGCCATTTTGAGGCTTTATAACAAATTGATTTAACATGTGAAGAAGACTCTACTTTTTACTTATTTTTCTCATTCCTCTTTTATGTAACTTTTACTGATTATATTTATAGAAAAAGTCTAAAATTTCCTCAAATGCACCAAATTTTGAAAAAAGCAGCACGCCAGTTTTTCCTCATCCTTGCCAATAGCAGTTAATATTGGCGGTTTTCTCCTCTTTCTGTTATTCCTGCTTTTTTGTTAACAAAATACAAATCTGATGAGTGGAAAATATTTCATTTTGTGTTAATTTACATTTCTCTGATTACCAGTGACATTGTTTTTTCAAGTGTTGAATTTTCTTTTGTTTGTTAATGTAATTTAAATCTCTCTTCCATTGTTAGCTTTTCCTCCCATAAATGTTCTGCTTAGTTCATCCCCATTTTGAGAGTATGTATTTACACATAAATACTTGTAAGTTGTTCTGTGCTTTCGTATTTTTACTTTTAGTTTTTAATTCATTTTATGGTATTTGTGTGGTGAGGATATTTTTTCTTTATTGCTAACAACTTCACTAGAATGTTTATAGGGAATTATTTCATTGCTCACAAACTTGAATTGATGTCTTTATATTTTATGAAATTGATGATTAGTCTGTTTCTAGGATTTCAGTTTAACCTTCATTCTTGAACTATGGCCACATTGTTGTTTAATTGTAGAAAATATTTATTTTATGATAAGGCAAGCCCCTCTTTATGTTAACGCCTTAACTGTTTCATTATCTTCCCCCTCATCTTTTAATGTTTTCTCTTAGCAATCTGTCTTTATGAACCAAAAATACTCTTCTAATCTTCTGTCAGTTGTTTTAACACCAAAAGTGCTTTCATATGTAATCTCTTATTTCCTTTTTATATAAACTAAAAGATAAATAAGATAGATTATATTATTTATATTTTACATATAAGGAAAACTAATTTAGAGTGGATGACTGACTTCCCCAAATTGTCTAAGTAAATGATAGGTATCAAAGTTATGAAAAAGATAACTGATGGCCATGTGCAAGTTACACAGAGATGTAATTCATTCAAATACCGTGAAAAGAGCACTGGACTACAAGTTAGGATACTTAGGATCTGATCTCAGTTCTTTTACTAACTATTCAGTTACTTAAGTATATTTCTGTTTATTTATTTATTTACTTATTTTACAGACAGTCTCACTCTGTCACCTAGGCTGGAGGGCAGTTGTGTGATCCTTGTGTCTCAGCCTGCTGAGTAGCTGGGACTGCAGACCTGTAATTTTTAAATTTTTTGTAGAGACCAGGTCTCACTATGTTGCCTTAGGCTGTTCTCCAACTCCTGGCTCCACACAAACCTCCTGCGTCAGCCTCCCAAAGTGCTAGGATTATAGACGTGAGCCACTGTGCCTGGCCCCGTTAATCATATTTAGAGATCACAATCTGGGTATTAGGGGTACTCCCTACCACTGGATTGTCATTTACAACAACATAATTAAGAAATACAGCCGGGCATTGTGGCTTATGCTAATCCTAGCGACTCGGGAGGTGAGGGACGGAGGATCACTTGAGACTAGGAGTTCAAGACCAACCTGAGCAACATAGTGTGACCCTGTCTCTAAAAAAATTTAAGAAATTAGCCTGGCAGGATGGTGTACCTGTACGGTCCAAGCTACTTTAGAGGCTGAGGCTGGAGAATTGCTTTATCTGAGGAGTTCAGGGTTGCAGTGAGCTATGGTTGTGCCACTGTACTCCAGCATATGTGACAGGACAAAACCCTGTCTCTGAAATAAATTAAATAAAAATAAAAGAAGTTAGGAATTCTTGGAGAAATTACTCATTCCGGGATTAGAGCAAGAAATGTACGGGATAAACCTAAATTAGTAGTTCTCAAACGTGTGTGCATTGGAGTTCCATGGAGGGCTGTTATAGATTGCTGTCTCCTATCCCTAGGGGTTTTGATTCAGTAAGTTTGGGGAAAGCCCTGGGAATTTGCATTTCTAATAAGTTCCTGGGTGACGATAACATTCCTGGACGAGGAACCACATTTTGAAAAATCACTGCCCTATAGCATCATGTGATACGAAAAATTGAGAACCTGTCAAAGACTGCTGGGGTCATGTAAGGATGGACACATCAACAAGAATGAAGGGGCTTTCATTGGCCTAGGACAGACAGCTGGAGCATAAGAAAGACTGATGAGTAAGCTGTTTAAAACAAAGTGTTTTTAAATCTGGCGACTTCATGATGAGACTCTAAAAGTACTTTGGAGATTGCTGGGGCACCCAGTGCCCTAACACTGGGATTTGCTTTTTAAAATTCCAGTGGTAGTAGGGGAAGCGTTGGCCATTTTTTGATAGGTTATTGAAGCTGAGTGACGGTGACATGGGGTTTATGATATTATCTTCCCTATACTTTTGCATGTTTGAAATTGTCCCTAATAAAATGCTGAAAAAGAAAGATATCACTTAACCACTTGAAACTTTCATATCTCTAAAATGAGTCTTAAGAGAGGTAAGACTTCACTCCTTAGACTTTAGTGTGCCTTTCAGTTCTGAACTAGCTTTTTAACCATATTTACATAGCCCTGGAATGGAGCCTTTGACTCTGGCTTCATTTCTTAGCCAAACTCTTTATTTGTGTTTTCCCTTTACTTGAGAAATATTTCCTATATTTTCCAAGTAACTTCTTTTTTCATATCTTTGCTTGAATTTCATGGAGTTGGTTTCTTCTGTTTTTAAACTGAAGGTCATATACCTTGGCTTTTGTTTAAAAATTATAACTTTTAATTAACGTACTAGAAAAATAATTAATCCATAATATTTATTGTTTACATCCTGCTACATTTTCTTTTAAACTTTAATTTTACTTACTTGTAATACTAATACATATATACACTCTTTTGTATTTTGCTTTTTAAAAACTTTTTATCGTTTAAGCATTTCCGTGAGTTATATGTTTTATATTGATGCTTGTACTACTATTCTCAGCTGACTCCAGAGTTCAGTAGCTTTACACACGTTCCTCTTTTTCTGGACATTACCTAATTTTCAGTTTTCACCGAGCAAATTTGTACAGATGAATTGTACCCAATTTGGTGATTTCCGTTGGTGATTTCTCAGAGCAAACTTAAAGTATATGAAGTGTTGTAGCTTTTCTTAAATTTCTGTTACCAAAGATGAGCTAATTTAGAGAACCCCCAGCAGTTTGCAGGCGTTCTGTTTTCCCCATAGCCACTTCGGTTCTATTTAATTTTCTGCTCATTTTACACATATATAATGGCGTCTTCAAGTTGTCATATTTCATTTCTTCAGTGACACTGTCCGTTTTTCATATGTAATGATTTATTATCTGAAATTTCCGTGTCACATTTTAATTACATTTGCTACCTATCATGAAGATCTTTGCATATCACCTACTTTGGATTGCTATGTTATAAATGACATTGAGGAATGATGATTGTTGCGTATTTTTTCTCTTTCAGTCATCTTTCTTTTGAAATTTATTAGATTGTGTTGTTTAAACCTCTTTTCAAAAAAAATCTTTTAAATTGCTTACCTTGTCCTTTCTAGGCTGTTTCTTCACTTCATCTCCCATTTGCAACACAGTTAAACTTACTAGTTTCTTTGAGTTCTTTAGCTGTGTGTATGTGTTTGTTTCTTGTAAGTGTTCATTGCTTTAATGCACGTGGAGTTTATTTTATATATCTTATAAAACATAAATTTAAAGTACTCTTTCTTTACCCTGATACCCAGTTCTCCTGGTAGCGCTTAGTAAATAGGTATTCTTTAAAAAATTTTTTTAAATCTACTTAATCATATGCTAGATAATCACATAGAAGTTTCCATTTCATTCTAGATTCATAGTTTTGTCTTTAATCCAATTTTTTTTTTTTTTTTTTTTGAGACGGAGTCTCGGCTCTGTAGCCCGGGCTGGAGTGCTGTGGCGGATCTCCCGCTCGCATGCAAGCTCGCCTCGGGTTTACGCCATTCTCCT